AATGAAATGCGTTAGCTGTCAATACGGATTATTTTGGAGTATAGTACAATTTAATAATTTCGATAACGTGACATTTAGTTTCTCAAGAGATACTTCAACAAATCTTTTTGCGAGAGAGATAAGTTTTTAATAATAAATAAATAAATTTCAACTGAAAATGACTAAACTATCGGTTTTTTTCAAAAAGCAACTGCAAGCATTACTTATAAGAACCTGTTTCTTCGATATTATACGTTCGATAATTTATTGGCGAGTATATCCGAGTCTAGTACAAGCATAAGCTTGTACGCGAAAAATAAATTAATAATCTTTTATATTTTATTTATAAAAGGAAATGAGCTAGAGTATGTTATCTAATCGGCGATGAATTTTTGAGTGATAATAAACCGATATTTTCAGCTTAATAAAGTGAAACTTCAACATTCACGAAACTAGGCTGTTAGTTTCAGAAAATAGTTATTTGACAACTTTCATCTAATTTATTTGTGTTGCTTGTCTCGAATTGTCAATTCTTGCCGCGCTCCGCAAAAGTGTGTCGTGTGTAGCGACGGCCATCAACGTTCACTTACAGCGAACAATTTTTCGAACAATCAGATAAATACAGAGTTGTTAATTTGTTATATAAAATTTTAATTAATTTTATTAAATTTTATTAATTAGATTTTTTTGCGAGGAATGTTTAATTTATTGTATTAAAGACACATGATCAGGAATATGTTAGCATTATAATGAGTTATTTAATCTACCTAGTAAACAGAATGAAACTGGCTATTACTAATAGAGATGCGTATTTAACTTGGAATTTACGACGGGCTTATTTGAACACTACTTCTCTCTTGCAAAGTGTTTTTGACACTCGCCATTGCATGTTTAATGAGATGCCTTTGATTAACATCATTATTTAACTTTGGTAACTCTATCCTGCAGCCACTGCGGATACGATAACTTTGTAGATTATCTGTATGCTGTTTGGTACACTCGTAATTCTGTAATATTCGTCGAGCATATGTACATACTTAATTCTGTAGTCGACCGCACGCAAATATCGACAAAAACGAATTGCGTAACATTCTTATTCATCGATTATTTCTGAAGAAACTCATATCATTGCGGACAATGACATCGAACTTGAAATCGTAAACTCATCGTTTTGTAACTATAAATCTTTCATATGTAGTGTTAATTGATTCAGTAAATACCGCGCTTCACACTTTTAAAGAGTTTTTTTCATACAAAACTCAAATATTTTCCAAATATTTTGCACTGAGAGAAAAAAAATATTTAATTACCATAATTTAACATTAATTTATAATCATTTTTAAGGACCATTATAAATTTATAATTGTTTTAATGATGCAAATGTAGGAAAAAATAGAAGTCATTAAAAAAAATGTGTTTTTTTTTACAAAGAAGATTATTGGAACACTTAGTTAAATATATGAGAAAATTTATTAAAATATTAAAAATATTTTAATATAAACTCTATTAGTTTTTATTTAAAAAAATTTTTTTCGCATTATTTACATATTATGATATATTAGTAAAAAGATTCTAAAGTGTTTAAATTTAATAAATATAAGTATAATTACAAAGTAAAGATCTTACTATAAGATCTTACTATAAGAGCTTTTTGAAAGAAATTCATAAAAATTTACTTAGTTTAGGCTAAAGAAGATTTTCTTAATTGTTTATTAACATAAATTATATATTTTCAATAGTTACAAACAATATTTAACGGATTTACTATATTCAGATTAAACTAGATTAAAATAACAAATTGATATTGGACATCTTATATAATCATATATACTGTATTGCGTATCTAATCTCGTGTGCCACGCATATCAAGCAGGAATATAAAAACGTGGCCGTGACATAAACACGACTAAGCCAAGTTACGAATAGGCGATTATAAGGTAATTAACCTCAATTGTTTTAGCTTGTAATTAGTATTTTAAGTGTGACTCAAGTTCGATACTTTCTTATTGTCAGTCGTATTTTTTCTTGGTTGTTCACGTAACATCTCGCGTTAACTTTCAGCGCGTAACATGAATTCCTCGTTGCTTCAGATAACATCAGTGGCAGACCGCTACCTTAATTTTTTCCGGTTACTGCTCTCGAGACCGCCAACTTTAATCTGAAACTATTAGGAAGCACGGAAGCGCGATCAAATTATTCTTAGTAAAGGAAAGTTGTGATGTAATTATAATCATCTTCCGAGAACTCTATAAAGTATTTTCTTTCGATAAGCAGTGACTCTAATTGAAGGCGCGACGAAGAGAAAACATAAATCTAGTTTATAATTTGATTACATAATTACAAGACTTGATTAAGTGACAAAAATATTAAAATGTAGGAAAAAAAGTTAAATTATGTTGTAATTACATAACTAAAAAAAAATGGGCCATACGATTACGTTAAATACTGTTATGCTAAACAAAAATATTAAAACATGAAACGAAATCCGACAATTTTATGGGACCAGTTTATTCTACGATGGAATTGCATTTTGTTATGAATAAATTTGTTAAATAACGAGATTAATAGGATTTTGGCGAATATAAAGAGATATAGTCTCATTATATCGCTGTAATTGTTATTTGACGATACTTGAGGGATAATCAACATCACAATTATTGAAGCAATTACTGCCACTAAGAAAACAGATAATTATATGTTTAATATTGTGAATCGCGAGAAAAGAGTCTGTTCTTATTCGAAACCGCAGTTTCATATATTGAAAAGTATATTCTAGCATTTTTATGTGATCACGCAAACACATTAATCCACACAATTCATGCTTATTTTCACTTTTCTGATTATATAGTTGGACAATAGAAACTAAAAGAAAAATAAGAAAACGCTAATTAAAGAAAGTGTAGAAATCATCTGGTGAGACGCATTTTGTGAATTTTTCAGCAGTATGAGACTCTGATATTTGGTTCAAAATCGAGTCGACAAACTTTTCATGACGATAATAGAGACGTCAGCGTGCAAAAGTTCTTCAATCTTCACATAAGAGATGCGAATCTTCGCTGAAACGGCCCGTCTAGAAAATATTAATAAGAACTTGCGCGGAGCAGAGGGATGGAAACGCGTTGATTGTCCCTCAGCGACCGCAAATTTTCCTTGCGATTTCACTTTCTCCGATGTGGCATAATTGCGCGTGTTACGAATCGTAATACTCGATTCAACGCCACTCATATAACGCAATCGTATGATCGTGTTACAACAATGTAGGACCTGCGAACCTGTAATAAACTTTTACGCACATTCACGTACACATATGTGCATGCGACATGTGCAAGGTGTAACATGCTCTATCGGTATTTCATCAAATTATGCAACGATACTGATTAAATACTATCTCAACGAGAGAATAGATATACGTATCACATTTTGCTGACAAGACATCAAAACTGTTCCGAATATTTTGGGTTTCTCACACGCCGTATACGACCGAATTGTGATACTATCTAATTAGCACCGAAACTTCTATGGAACCTCGATGTTATCGAGCACAGATTGCATATTTGGACAGACGATGCAAGATAACAAGTTAGAACTTTCTCATTTACGGAAAGTTAGAAGTTTCTTGCTCGTGAGCAGATGAACTTGTACCGTAGACAAATTTGTTTTGGAGAGTGTTCTCCCGTAACAGAAGATAGGTGCCGGTACCGAAATTGGATAATATCAAAGTTTAGATCAACTCAAGTATAAATCTTAACCCTTATAATACGAGGTATAATTTGGTGCCTCATCCGTTCAAATATGGCCGGGTTATTAGAATCTGTCCGTTTTTTTCACCTATTTAGAATGGTTAAAAAAATAATTTTAACTCTAATAATTCACATATTTTCAACTTTCTAAAATAAATTGAAACTTTATTTTTGAAAATAATAAAAGTAATATATAATTTATAATTTATAAAGACTTAAAGAAACTTGCACGAACAGGAATCGCTCGATCAATTTATCCTATACTGATCCTTGTATAATAAGGGTTAAGATTTTTCTCAATACACAATTAATATGCTAAATATACTGTTTATTTCTATTCTTTATGATTTTATTTTACACAGATTTTGGTTTTCCTTATTAAATGTAAACTAAACCGCTCGATTCGCTCTGGAAATGAAATCTATTGAAACGTTTCGTGTTTCATACATTGAATATATACATATTTATTTACAATTGATCTTTTCCTTAAAGGATCGAGAGACAAAGTACAATGATTTTTTTATTCTTTACACATTACACTAGAATTTCTTCGCGGATAAGACTTAATCTATGTCGGAATTGTTAATTTAAACAATTAAATGACTAAAGAACATACATATATATTTACAAACGTAACAAATAAATTATAATCGCGATCTATATCGCGTTAAATAATAATAATTTGCATGCTGTCAGGCACTTCGTCGAATTTAATTGGTACATCTCAAAACACAAAATGTGGCGTCTAAGAAAATCTCCTATTACAAACGTCTCCCATTACAAATGATGTTTAACCTGGCGTGAGCTAGATGGTAAAGTACCTAAAAGTATCTAAATCTAAAAATATTTCATAAGACACAACGGATCACTAAAATAAAAATTACAAATAAAATATTCGGAATCATAAGAAAATTATATTTATTAAAATTTTAATCAAAGTAGTAACAATTTTAAACGTTAAAGATATCAATGTGTGTGACATACATACATACCCGACCTAACTCACGCCAGGTTAATTGAAATAAAAAAGAGCAAAGAGAAGAAAGTATATTTATATAAAAGAAATTGATTTTTACCGAGCTACTGTTCTTCAATAGTTGAAAATAAACAATGAAATAACGTACGCTGTTGGTTCTTTAGGAATATGTTTTTCTTCATGTATTGTCTTTTTTCCTTTTTTACTTTATTTTTAGGAATTGTTAGGCCGCACGTAGTAATGTATTTATTATGTCTTTTCGTTAAACTTGGTCGAAGTGTACTCATTCTAAATGTACTTCATTTCTATTTTATTTGAAGTTCGCTTCCATGCCGTTGCTTACTTTTAGTGTTATTCCTATTGATGGAAAACATTTTCTTCCAAGTAGGGAACTGGGCAGTCATACTCGCGTATATAATTGGATTGTAGCAAATAGAGGATTTCGCGAGGAGTGCTGGCAGCACCGCTAAGATATGAGAAGTTTGTACCTGCAATCATACACGTGTGAATCACCTTTCACAAGCCGTACATATAATTACATATAATTCTTCACAGCTTGTTGTAAATAGAGAGACATGAAATTTATCGAGTTATTGAGAGGCTATCAGTCTGTCAGTCATTAGATTCTGATATGGATAATCAATCACGAGGAAATTGACCTCGTTACTTGAATACAAACTTTTTATTGCTTGAGTGTGTATATTGTAATACTGTCTCTTGTTATTTATTTGTCACGTGATTATCGATTTCGACATAATTATAATTTAGAATAATTATAATTTAGAATAATTAATTGATAATTAATTCAAAACTAATTTTATAACAGCTGCTTTAAAATCTTTAGAACATTGGATGTCTCGTGAGAATACTTACGTAAAAATATTGAGTTGCGAGTGCAAGAACAGCATATGGTGACCAAGCAATTAGAAAAGCAAGAATCATTAAGTATACCATCTTAGTGACTTTCTTTTCTCGTCTATTTTTCGCACCTGGAACAAGACAAATAATAATGTCAAGAACAATAATAATGTCAACAAGAATAAATTCTATTAGAAGTATTACTCACCTACTCTTTTTCTTATTTTCCTTAAAGTCTTTATTATGCCGTAATAGCTGCTGATAATTATTGTGATAGGAAGGAAGAATCCAACAATAAATAAAAATCCAATGTAAGTGTCGTTGTGCGTATAAGGATCGTGTATCTCCCAAGATACGCTGCAGGATATGTTACCTGCTTCCGGACCATAAATTCCCCAATTGAAAAATGGCGGTAACGATAAGGAGAGCGCATACATCCAAACCAAAATCGCCAATATGTAAGCGTGCCTGTAACAATTAATTTCTTAAGGTATTTTATTTAAGACAATATTTACGAGAAATATTAACTATTTTTCAAAATTATATCACTAATTTAATATTATAAAGGAAGTAAATAAAACAAGTGAAAAGTGGAAACATTGTGAATAGAGAAAAATTAAGTTTTTCCGTTTTTATGATTTTTTCTAGATGTAATTTTTTTTCTACGAAAGCGGAAAGTGTTAATGTATAAAGTATTAACGTACTAGAAGAAATTTATAACAATGTAATGATGCACATAATTGTAAGATATAAATTAATATTAAGTTTTGATAATAAGGTACTACAAAAATTATATTTTACACTTGAATAATGAAGAAAAAAATCTTGGATCTTCTTCGAATAATATCCAATTTTAATTTAAATTAATAACTCTTTGTTAAATAATATTAAAAAAAGAATTTGTAAATTTAGAATATATTCATCGTCTTTTTTCTTCTGTAACAAAAGTTTTTGATATAATTTTTTGACAATATTTTAATTTTTATAGTAAATACTTCGGTGAATCATAGTCAAAATTAAAACTAAAACTAAACTATTAAAGTTTAATTAAAATTATACACACGATTAAAAAACTCATACCTTAATTTTTCAATTTTGATTTCTTTATTTAAAATTTTATTGTCAATTTAATATCATATTTTAAATTGATTATATAATGAATATTTTTCTTAATTATTTGTTTTTTTCTTATAATGAATTTTGAATTCATCATACTTTTTAATTGAAGCATGAATACATACCGATAATTACTACTTTATAAATAGTGATTACCATCGAATGTTAATTATTTTGTAGTACGAAATTCTACCTCATTAGTGAAATGTTAACTCATTAGTAAAATCACGAATTTACTATTAAAACGAATTGAAAGTCCGCGCTTTTGCTCGCTTATACTATTACTTTCTCGTGCGTAAAAAAGGATTCCATCGAGGAACAAGAGGATCATTTTTAAGCCAACGTTAATTGCGAAGGTCTGAGAAATAAATGACGTGAAAACAATATCATGATATTATATCAAAACTTGATGTCCTTGCTCTGTAATAAATAATGAAAGATGTAATACTGTAATATCGGTTGATGTATTGAAGTGATTTAGGCTTAATATTGCTTAACATTATATGCAAGTCACTTTATTATGAAGAAAATTAGATTTTGTGAAGAAAATAAAGCAACGGGTTTCACAATGTAATACTACTTAATCCTAACATTCTTTTATCATTTAAACATGTTTCATTACTTCCATCTTCCGTACATGTACATGGGAGAAATGGGATAGTGTGATACAAGGGGAGAGTGTGATACAATTAAAATCCATTGCAAACTCATGCAAATTACATTTTAAAGGTGTTAATGATCACTTTGTAGATGTGATGAGCAACATCACTTCCCGGAGAATGTTCCGATGAAAGTGTGCGATAGAAAGTCGAGGAATGCACAAGTTAATCATTTCTCTCTGTTGGCAGTTTTTGTATTATGATCGTTACGTATCATCGTGAAAAGAAAAAAAATTATTTTTCGGAAGTAAAACTTAATGAACAAAAGTGCTTTTTTTTACTAAAGATGTTTCTTATGTTAATCATAAATTTACAGCATTAGTTTTTCAGAACATGTTAAAGATAAATTGATCAGATAAGTAAGACAAATATGCATATATACACCATAAAAAATAAAATGTTAATTTTAACTTAGAGTTGTATAGTGGACTTTCTGAGACATGCAAAAATGTTAAATTAACACAAAAATGTTAATTTCAACATTTTTGCATGCTCAGAAAATCCGCTATACGATTGTAAATTAAATTAATATTTTATTTTTTACAGTGTATAAAGTAAGTGAATACGACCGAGAAATTACATTTATGTGTGTGTGTGTGTGTGTGTGTGTGTGTGTGTGTGTGTGTTTGCCCACATATAATTTTTATACATATAGTTTTGTTCTCTGAAAAGTATGCATGGAAGAGAAATCGACAATCTTTTTACCTTATTGATAGTGTCTTCATCGGGCATGTGACTAATAGGAATCTCTCCATTGCCATCACTGTCAGATTACCGATACTGGCAAATCCCATTGTAGTCATAAACCATGCGTACCTAAAGTTAGAAAATTGATTTGATTTTTGTAATTAAAAGAGTGAAGCACATTACAAAGCAGATTATTTGTAAATTTATCTTGAGATCTCTACGTGTTTACGTTCTTTATAACTTTTATAATGACTCAAGATGCATGTTATTAAACTCTGTTACTGCTTTTATGAGCTTTTCAGAAGCCAAACTAATTATCTCTATTTTTTGTGAATTTTTTCAATTTTATCAATTTTATCACTCAGAACGTTGATTAATATATAATTTCATAAATTTTCTTTATTTTTTACTTCATTTCTATTTAATGTTGATCAATTAGTTTGACTTGCGATAGGTATATATAATACTATTCATTTTATTTTCCGATATATTTAAATGGTACTGAAATATTATGTGTTAATAAACTTATTTTTATTGTTGTTTGTATTGTATTGTATTGTTATATTGAGATATAACAAAAAAAGTTATGTTTCAAGAATATAATATAATAAGCTTAAAATATTTTGTAAATTATTTCAATCTTGCAAAATAATTGTCTCAAAATATAGGGACATTTTTAAGATTTAGTATTAAAAATGTTCGGTGGATATAAGATATAATGAAGCTCACTTAATAGTCCACAGAACATCTAAGACAAGTTTCTGGACTATAATTAGGTAGTCCTTACAATATTCCGCTCAGTTAACGGTTCTTAAAACAGCCATAGGACATCTTTGTGCTATTTGGAATGTTTATGCGCAAACTTTCGAGACTCTCTTTATCTGTAGATCCACTTAACGCTGCAAGTACTTCGAAGCATTCTTTGATTGATCAATTCATAAAATCCTTTCTTTTGATTAATCAACAAAACATTTGTAGCGTTAAACGAATCGCTAGTAGATTTAATTATCAAGATAAAATTATATTTTTTTTTATGTAATAATGATTAAATAATAATAAGGTGTATACCATAGACACATTTCGTGACTCCAAAACCATTCACCTGCAATGGCCGATGTCATTGTGAATGGGTTTCCCAGTGCAGCAACTAAGAAATCTCCAATCTGTCATAGTAAACATAGCAAGCATTACAATATATTTTATTTTTTTTTATTATATTTTGGAACGTAGCCTAAGAATTCAATATGTATGTTGTTTGATAATATATTATATAAATAATATGTAACATGAAAACATTATATTATATATTATATATTATATAATATATTATTTGATTATATATATATTAATCAAATAACATAAAGTATAATTATGCACTTAGAGCCGATATCTCCTGAGGTAAGTTGAATACGTTACACTATTTTCATGTCATATAAATACATATTATTTATATAATATATTTCAAACAACACACATATTGAATTCTTAGGCTATGTTCCAAATATACTTTGAATAAAAGAGTTAATTCATAGGCGACTCATAATCGATTCTTATATATATTTCGAAACTGTCTTAACTTAAGTAATATTTTAAAATTATATAAATATAACTTAGCACCGAAAGACTATCGTGTTTTCAGATATCACAAACCTGTATTTATTATCAAAAAGAAGAAGAAAAAGTCAGATGTAATGTCTTAAGACAGATTTTGAAATAAGAACCGATCCATAAATTAACTCTTTTATTTAGACTAAAGTTTTAGAATGTAGTCATAATATCTAATTATATTGGTCGGTGTGCAGAAATATATCTTGTATATAAACAAGATTTCACTATAATATCAAGAAACTATTTTTCAAAGTTATCAGAAGTTAGCTCCCATTGCGTCTTATCAAGCGGTGTAAAGCTTTTATTTCACATTGCTCGAAGAGTAACCACTGGAGTATACCACTAGAGAATTGTTCTATAGAAAGTTCAAAACAAATACGAAAACAACACGAATTTCATTAAATATCTTCAAATAAAGGATAATTAAAATTAGAAAAACAAATTATCAGAGTATCAAAATGTATAATATTAAAAACTCTTATTGTTTTTACAAGATATAATATATAAGAATAACTGAAATAACCATTATTATTGTAAAGAATTGTCGCAGTAATTAGTACAACAAAAGTATAAAAATTGCACACTTTAACGTCATAGTCACAATGATATAGGCAGTTAATTGTTTATATTATTATGATATTAAAGTGTGTATACATTTTTTATGTGCACTAATTACCGTAGGCTCTTTATTGTTCTATTTCAATTATTCTTGCAAATTAAAATTAGATTTAAAGATAATAATAAACAAAGTAATCTCAATTTTTTAAAGAAATGTTCCGTATTCCTTTTCTAAAATAAAAAACATGTTTCTATGTTAGATTAATATCTTTTCATAATTTTACGACTTTTTAAGTTATATTTTTAAACAATTTTTTAATAAGATCGTTATTTATTACTAGAAAATAATTTAACAACATTATTATAATTATAGGATTAAAACAGATTTATATTCTATAATTGAAAATTTTGAGTAAAATTCATAAATTACAAGATAAGCATACGGCGTTTGATATTCAGAATCTGTTACAGTTCTCAATAAGCATTTTTCTCATATTCATATCATTAATAAAGCATCATTTTATCCTCATTATCAATTCGCCATGTGATATCATTAAAAAAATTCTTAGCTATGTGATGAAACATAGCCGACTGTCACATATACCTAACTGTTTTATCCTTATTTCCTAACTAGGAGCGACTTGACATTTCGAAACATGTTCTTTAAAATATTCGCTTAAGTAAAAAGTCTCGTATTAATTATTTGCGATTATTTCAGCAGAAAATTGCGTAATAGAGCTAATTAGACAGGAAATTTAACATTCTTTCAAAAACCAATCGGATGGAAAAGACGTAATATATAAAAGTACCCTTCGTTCGATATATTTGCAATTTTATAATATAATTATATTTTATATACAAAATTTGTTAACAGTTTTTGCAAGTAATAAATTAATAATTTTAGATTTAATAAAATATAAATAATTATATTGTGAAAATATATTAAACTTATAGTAAACTTGAATTAAAAAAAATTATTTAAAGCTAGCTTCACAGGGACTGCTCTTATATTTAAGATTATCTTAAGTATAATCTTAAGTAGATGTTATAAGTCAATCATAAGATTTTATTAGTGTTTTAATATACTGTCTAAGAAAATTTCAAAATAAGAAACTACGAATACCGACCTTAGAATTAAAATAATAAGCAAGGCTTATAATAAACTCCGGCCGCGCTGGAATTTACACCGCAGAAGTCAGAAAAAATAAAAGGATTGGGGGGGGGGGGAGAGGGATAATTTTTCTGCAACTACTCTGTTATCATGCCTTTATTATTATGTAATATTAATGTTATATTAGTATTGTGTTATGATTTCAACTTCTTACATATTACGTTCATAAGGAAATTATTGTGAGTTGAATCGATATTTGTCACTGTAATAAATAACATCATCATAAATTATAATCTACATAAAATGATTACTGTGTAAAAAGAATGGTTATTTCATGATACATACGTGAAATAGTGAAGCATGTTATATGGCACAACTGCTTTGCTTTCATATTCTTTGTTTAGTTTGTCTTGTATATCTCATCTGTTTCGGCTATATGGCATTTTTTAGAGGGAGGGATTTATGCCCAAAGCATACAAAGTGCGCAGATTGAATTAGTGCACTAAATGCATTATATAAAATATGTACCTCATGTCATAACACTTGTAATATATGTAGGAAGTATAAATATTATTTATTATTTCATTTTCTTATTCTTTAATAAAACTTCATAAACACATTTTATAAGTTATTATGTCATTTTATCATTTTGTCTTACATGCATTATTGGTAAATTTTTCATGGCCGTACATACCCCCTCTCGCCCTCCTCTTATGAGTAGCCGTAAATTCCATCCCTTATGAGATATACGGCAAAAATACAAGAGTTTCAAAAAGTTTATTTTTTAATATAAAAAATAAATATTTCGGATTTCTAATATTTTTTTTAGTAGTAGACAATACAAAGTTTTTACTGATATAGTTCGTTACTTTAAATATAGTAAAAAATATTTAATAAATTAAGTTTTTGATAGGTGCGGCGTATATCGAAGTTAATAATAGTAGTATTTTCCCTAATAGTATTTTCGAAAAGATTTTTATAGTTTTTTTAATCTTAAATATTAACAATATTTTTAAATCTTCTTTTTCAAAAAAATAATATGTATTTACTTATAATATAAATTACTTACCTATCTAAATATTTATATATCATAATTATACAGTGTATATAAAACATGAATGTAAAAACTTGTTTTAAAAACATTATTTAAATATTCGTATTGTACTGTGATAATTATTTACTGATAATATTATTCCAAAACGCAACGTTATTAATCCGTATTATATTTTGCTTAATCAATGTAGATTTATTTTAATTCCACTATTCCATTTATTTTAATTTTCCCACAGCAAGGTTATTTATTTTATCTTAGATATCTCTGTTTATAAAGAATTAATATTGATACTTTTATTATTTATTTTTAATATAATACTGCTTTGATAGCTTTACTAAATATTCTATTGTGCTGAATCATATTTATCAAACTCCTAATCTTTATATTTTTGTATGATTTTTTACAATCTTCATGGAATATTATAAATAATTATATAAAATTATATAATAAATAATAATAAAATTCTATAATATATAAATTTTACTAACTTCAATAAATTACCCAAATATAACTTTAAAATAATTAAGTATTTGAAAATTTCATTACTGGAATAAAATTGTTATATAAAAAATAATTTCAAATCTCATACTTAAGAATTTATATTTCTAGCTTGATTTTAAAATTAAAAGGCAAAGAGAGCGAGAAAGAGATAAATAAGAAGAGATATCTCCTGTATTTTCTTAGAAAAAATCGACGTCGCAACTTTATAAAAAATACATGAATGAAAGATAGCTTATAGATTTAGAATAACCTGTACTGTAACTATAAAATTAAAATATAATATTCTTCTATTTCTAATACGAAAAGTGAAAATTGACTAATTTAATATCTGTTTAGTTAGTTGAGTCGAGTTATTGCCATGATGTATTATATTATCATGCTCCATAATGTTATATTGTAATTTTTATTATAGAATGAACAATCAAATTTCTCTCTGTATTTGCAGTATATATCAAACTAGATTACATTACAAATTAAATTGGTGTTTACTACTTTACTAATTTTAACTTTACTAATTTACGAATGTAAATGTCGAAAAAATCTATCCATTTTCATATTGCTTATAATGCCAAGAATTAAACATCTGTTACCATTTTTGCATTGCCATGAGGCAATACGTATTTTCGCAACACATTGCCGTATGTGAAAATAGAGCAGTGATTTTAATTACAGAACGGATGTCATTGTAAACTCTCTTATATACTATGGAGCGTATTTTTTTCCAGGAAAAGTTCCATAGGAAAGGTTCCTGACCTGGAAAACGTAGGAACAAAAACATTTTTTGTTCTTTATTACAGATTTTTTTTTTTTATTAAAAATCAAGGTTCTAAAACTTTTATAAAATTTTCTTATTAAGCCCGAGAGGTTTCGCAGTTCAAGTTAATAAAGCTTCAACTAATTGTTTATTTACTTCAGTTCAATAAATATAAATTTGATGTAAAAATATATTTATGTGTGTTTTAAATTACATGTTTTAAAATTGACTCAATGAATATTACATTTCTTAAAGAAAGTTAAATGTAAATTTGACAAAAACATTACCAAACATATCGCTATTAACGATTTTGACTATTCTTTTTTAAGATACGATTACGAATATAATATAGAAAAATTATGGAATTAAACGTAAGAAATTGTCAAAAATAAATATCATTAAAGTCGCACTTTGATATTTGTAAAGATCATTCGGTAGATTCAAACTTTCTCTAAGTTTTACTTTTGTTATAAGAAAATTTCACAATTTTTTAGTCATAACGCAGAAGTTGTATAAATCTATGAAGCTACCTTTTGTTCACGCATTTTTTTATAAAGTTGTAACATCAATCTTTTCGATAGAGATAATTAATTTCCATTTTAATCACTATTCAGAAAAATCAAATTTAATTATTAAACAGCTTATTAAATACTTATGTATTATTTAATATATTATTTTATGTATTATTTATATTACTTAAACGATATTACTTAAACTGTAATATGTAGATTATTTAAATTATTTGTATAAACTATATTTTGAGAAAGTTAATAAAATTATTCAATCACTCGTTATATAAATAAAAGATACTCACGACCATGTTGATAAGGACCACGTTGTTGGGCGTCCATAATACATTGGCGTTCTTGAGGACTGTTATTATGACTAAAAGATTTAAGAAAAAACCAAAAAAACCGATAAAACCTAAGGCGATCGCTGCAAAAATATAGATATCGACTGATAGTTGTTCCTCGACACTCAAGTTCAACGACATATTTCTTATCATTGTATAGGACTTTCGGTGTCAATCTTTGGCGAACGGAAACCTCACTCCACAGCAGGAAGAAGAACGAAGCTCGATGATTTGATGAGAAAACAGTATCAATGCGTTTGCATTGTCGGATAAGTGAAAAAAACTCAGAGAAGACGAGCGATGAACGTGGCGTGTCCGTCGCAGTCGCATTAATTAAAACCAGAGTTTCAAAGTCAACCCTTATATAAAGCTCGTTCTAAGCCGCTCCCGCCACGCACCCCTCCTAGTCACTAATCCGGCGGAAACCAACTCCCAACGTGAAAAAGTAGGATCATGCGCATAGATCAATCGAATCCTTCTATTATCAGGGGCGGCGAAGTAAAATTTTTCAATGTATGGAGTTAGATAGATTGAGGGAGAAGAGAGGAGGGAGGAGAGGGAAGAAGATAATAAATAAAATATATTTCCTTATACATATCTTCTCTACATACTATGTACAAAAGTAGCTCTAATTTTATTTTTTTAAATAAAATTATTAAAGATATCCTCCATATTTAACTTATCGACCTTTCTCGATAAAATATACAAATATACAATGTTGCAATATGATTTAAACGTTTTTGTTTCATTATCAATCGAAGATGACTTTTTCAATGATATCTTATATAAGAAAATCTTTCATTCGAACAAGTTGATGTAGGAATCATTAAAAGAAAGCGAATAAATTTTATGTATTCTAGTACAAGATATCTGATCTCGGGATTGTCATGTAAAAATTACACTACATCCTTCAAACAATGCAGTGACATTTTTCGTATGTTTGTAATTTCTAAATTACAATTTCTAATTTCTAAATTTCTCCCCGACCAAATATCATACAGATATGAAATTCAGTATATGAAATTCCATATATTGAATCAGTGTATGGAGTACCAATCATATTGGAATCGTCATGCTTACTATATGTTCTAATAGGCTGTTTTTTTTTTGATAATTAATAGGATTTATTTTGATGCGATTTTATCAATGTTCACAATCCTCAAAGCCAATTTTTGAACTTTAACAATTTTAAATTTAACAGTTTAAAAGTTTTAATTCGTATCTCATCGCCTTTTAATTTTAATTGATGGAGAAACGAAAATTTAATTACCATCAGAGTAATTAGATCATTTATGTTAACATTACTTTAATTAATTTAACTAATATTTTCACAAAATTTACAAATTACTAAGCGAAATTAGCTAATTATAGATGTATCTGCAATTTTAATTAATTGGATCAAGATTAAAATTAAACTGTAGAAACGGGCATTAGAATTGGAAACTTGTAGAACGGGCATTAGATATATAAAAAAACAAAGATTAAAATTGAATTTAAAATCTAACATTAGTAAAGCCTGTAATCTTTTACATATGTCAATCGGTTGGAAAGAATTTTGATTTTGATCAAAGATTCAAAGTCTACATTATCTGCAGAATATATTTTTCCGTTTGCATTCCGTTTACATATACAATTTAATTTGATATCATCACCATTATAGTATCGTAGTCATTGTGCAGACAATTGCGCGTCTTCATGCAGATGAAATTCTACCTATTTTGCTCGAGTTACAAGACACGCCATCTTGCAAAATGATAGTTATTTTCTGCGGAAGAACGCGACGTTCTTTGATTCTCTGCGTGTGTAAATTTATTTAGCATTCATCAACATGTCATAAGATACATTTTTCATTCCTCTCCCTTTCTTGTAAAAAATTAAAAGTCTTAAAGAACAGTTAAAAGGTTTATGTATGTAATATACAGAATTAATATCAATGATGCCTAATAATCTTTTAATTCAACAAATAAGAAATAAAAAACAAAGAAATTCGGGTTCGGTTAAAATCATTTCTCACTTCAAACGATTCAATTTTGAAAGATTTTTTAATAACAAAAATTTCAATAAAATTTAGATGCTTAATTAAATTCTCGTTAATGAATAATTGTTTTCAATAAAAAAAAATTGTTTAAACGAGTGGCGATCTGGAAGAAAAAATGTCGTTCGTTATTCGTTGTAATAGCTCAACCATTGTTGTAAAGAGATTATATTCGTTAATCGTATATCACGATGATAAAGGTTGTTACAATTTTTGCGAATTCCTGGATTAAATTGCATCAGTCACACATGAAAGAAAATCTCGCACAAATTCGTGTTTTATGCTGTTGTCAGTTTTTTAAACGAAATCTCGCAACGTGTTAGTTACGTATAACAATCGTACCTTTTATCGAAACACTAAGCCAATTCGTACATAACTATATTTCAGTCTACGTTGAAGATTAAAAAGGCAGCTACGAAAATGATTCATGTTATCAACAAAGAACTTGTGTAATAATCATTCCTTTGAAAATATTCCGCAATTGATTAAAGAATTAAGTAAAATAATGTATTATTTAAATTAAATTAGGCATTTTTTAAATGTTATTATTATAATAAAGAAAGGATATATTTTTTAAAGTGTAACATTTAAGTAATATATTTAAAATCTTTAAAGAATTCTTTAATATAAGAAATATCGGCTAAGATATTAAGAAAAAAAAGATGAAATAATAT